TATTTATTATATTTATTCTATGTATATGAGTGTTTTGCCTGTATGTGTGTAAGTGCACCCCTGTTTTGAAATGCCCACAGAGGTCAGAAGAGGGCATCAGATCCTCTGGAACTGGAGTCATTCACAGTTGTCAGCCACTATGTGGGTGCTGGGAACAGAACCCTGGTCCTCTGCAATAGCAGCCAGTGCTCTTTACCACTGAGCTCTCTTGCTACCCCACAAAGCTTTATTATTTAAAAAAATAAACAGTTTTCTAAAGTTTCTTTGTGGGCATGAAATAATAAAGGGCAAGCTCAGTGGAAGAGGGGATGGGGTTGGTTCGCCACTTGGAGCAGGCACGTATGGCCTAGAAGAGAATCTTTACCTCACAATGAAGTCAGAATGAGCTCCCTGCATGATCTGCTTCTCTGAGCGAATATGCTCCTGCTGTCTTGTATCCACAATGTGGCGCTTCTTGAGAATCTTCATTGCAAATGTTTTGGATTCTTCACTTTTCAACTGGACCTTAAAGACAGGCAGAAAGGACACATGAGCTACAGCTTGGATTTAATATAATAGACTGCATTGTTATCCTGAAATTAACAGGTGCATGGAACTAAATGAATGATTACTACTTCCCTAGTCATATAGGGGAGATCTTTTCTAGAGGGGTTGAGTTTACAATCCACAATGCACAGCCATCATCCAACCTCACTGTGGTAGATCAGATGAGTGTAACCTAACTCCATTCCAGGTTAATTTTGTGTTCATGTGAATAAGAAAAATATACTTGATTCTCATTGTACATTCATTTAATTTAATTTAGCGTGTCTGAGTATGTTATATACCTTTAATATAGCAATCAAAAAAAGTAAAAATACAAGTCCAGTTTCCTCTTCAATTTTATTTCAAATGCTGGTGGCAAAGTAGGATCACATGTACCTTTATACTTTTAAAAGTCCTAGTTCACAAACATTTCTAGAGTTATTAAGCTCAGTGATTGCCTCCTGTTCCTACTGAGACTGTAGATTTATATGCTGTAACTCATTTTTTATCCATTTTTTTTTACTTTTCATTGTTTTTCTACCCTCCAGTTAAACTATAGCAAATATTTTTTTCAGAAGATTTTGAAAGCTACTTTTTCCTCTACCATGTATGATGGTGTTATTCTCTTATCTCAGATCTTACTCTTCAGTTTTATCAACTGAAGAGACCTATAGGAAGCCTGCATTGGTTGCAGCCTGTATGACTCCCTGTGACTCTGGGCGTGTCTTATCTCAGGTTAGCTGCAGATGTGTGTCCAATCTTACAAGAACTTCAATAAGGTCACTTGTAAGGCAAGGAAGGGACATAATAGAGCGGAATAGTTAACAGTAGTCAAGGGCATTACCACTGAATGCTCTCAAGTAGCACACCTCACAGTAACATGTAACAGCACATGTTATTCACACCTAATGAAAGTTTCAGGAAAGGAACATGACAAGTCTCAGCTGAAGCTTAGCTCACCCCTTTCTGAGGTTTGAATTCTTTACTGCAGGGACAGTGAGTTCTTAAGTGACTTGCCCATGAACACATGTTCAGACTGAATTCAATCTGAGGGGAATTAATATGGTGCACTCCTTAGGAGGGAATCATGAGCATACTTCAGACAAATACAGCTGGGTTTGCTGACCACATTTGTGACCACATGACAGAGTAAAGGGAGACCTGACTATCAGAAAATGTCTGCAATAGCCAAAGACCCTTTAGTTTGTCTGTGAAACTGTTTAAAATGATAGATTAGGGTGGCGCAAATGAATTCAGTTGTAGTTCATAATAAAACCCAAACGTGAAAACTCACTTATGAAAGAAATCTACAGACTGAGAGGACAGAATAGCAATGAACTGTTAGAAGAGCAAAATTCCAAAGAGAAGGAAACTTCCAGAGAAAGAAAGTTCAGTCTTTTCCAGTTAATAGAGAATTCTCACATAGCTCAGATTTCTAATGTAAAAATATTCTCTTCATTGATAACACTCATTTTTCGCTTGTGCACAGAATAAGGGAAAAGAAAAGCATTTGGGATCACAGATCTAAGTCCCAATTTTGCCTCTGTTTAGTCTTTCTCAGCCTCCTGGGCCAGTTTAACTGGTGTAAATCCCAGTTCTTATCAAGAATACTAGCCACTGCAGCCCCTTATTCTCTGCATGTTGGCCAATGGTTGATCTCTGTGTCAAGATGCTGTATAATGAATCTTCTATGCTGTGGAATATTGGGTATAACAGTAAGTCAAGTCATTAGAAATCAGTTTAATACTGTATCTCATTAGGAGAATAGCTGCATTAGGCTCTCCCCGATGGCCTGTGGGCTCTCTAACCTCAGGGTCTTAGGCCTGATATCAATGTCAGATGTGGGCTCCCTCCTATGAAAGGGACTTCAAAGAAAATTAGAAAGTTGGTGGTTACTCCTATAATATTTGTGCCTCTATTCCACAAGTAGGCATATCTTCCAGGCCAGTTGTAGCTTGCAGGATTCACAGTTGGGTAAGATTCATGCAACAGGAGGCAGAAAGATTGCAAGAGCCAGAAGAGGTGGATGACCACAGAAAACAGTTTCCCAGACAGCAGTCAGTTACTCATAAGAACTCACAGCAATGGTGACAGCATGGAGAAGACTCACGTAAGCTCAAGCCAGACAAAAATCCCAACATAGACTTGGAGAAGTGGGTAAGAAACCTCAACCCTATCTGTGTAACTACTGGCAACTGATGCCTGCTAGGAAGGAGAGATTCAGTCAGACAATAATTTGGTGGGGGCTTAGCAAGGGGTGCAGATACACGAGAAGATCTAAGTATGATCAAAATAGATTTCATGAAATTCATAATAAAGTTGATAAAAAATAGAAGCTACTACAGGGTGTCACCATGATGCTAAGGGAGTTTGTGTTGCCCACTTAGCATTCAGTGATGGACTTTCTGCTTCGTCCAGCAGTCTGTATCAAATAGAGAGAATTGAACATTGCTTTAAATTTTCCTGCATTTTCAAAGAAGCAAACTTTGCAAAAGTGGACTTAGTATAACTAATCAGAAAAAGAGGAAAAATGAAAGGCAAAGTAGACACGTTACAGACATTGCCCAAGGCCACAGAGCTACCAAGTGGCAGAACCCAGTCCACATTCAGGACCTCTGCAATCAAGTTACTTCCAGTATACACAGCTTTCCTTCATCTGAATACAAAACAAAGTATACTGAGGATGCTTTATAAATCAGAGTTTAATGAAATAAGTTAACATTAGACTGTCAGAGAAGCCGAACCATGTATTTACTGCCTTGCAGCTTTACTATGTTGGATGTGTGATGGGGTGCACAGTTGAAGCCGTCTGCTTGGGCTAAGTTGGCTTATCAAGAGAAGGCACTTGCCATCAGACTTGATGACCTGAGTTTAGTCTTGGAGTCCACATAGTGAAAGAAAACTGATTCCTACTAATGTCTTCTAACCTCCACATATGTGTCATGGCATACACCTAGAGAAAAATAAAATCATGTCCTTTTTCTGGACGTTTATGGTGGCCTCAGTGTGTTATCAGGGATTCAAGACACCTGACTGCACAAGTCATGCAAGAAGTCAACATGGGTAGCAGGGGAGTAATGCGAACGGACATACATGAGTACTGCATTTACATCATTTTCCTGCCTCCCCAACCCCCATCCAACTCTGCCAGTGTCCCCCTTCCACTTTCAATTCTGTGACTTCCTCTTTAATTATTGTTTTATAATACATGTACACACACACACATATATATATACATATACACATATGAACTACTAATTACATTTAGTGGTGCTTGTGTTTGTGTGTACATGTGTTTATGGATAGCCACTTGGGTTTGGATTAATCTATCAGGAAATTTGTCCCTGGAGAAAACTGATTCTTCTCTCGTCAGCCACTGATTGCCTGTAGCTCTTCATCCAGAGGTGTAACCTCGTAAAATTTCCCTCATCCCATTACCATGTTAACTGGTATCATTATGCAGGTCTTGTTTAGGTAACCATATTGAGATCTCACGGGTGCCGCTTCCCTATCATGTTTAAAATACACTAGCAGCAAGGCATCTTGGTCCTCTGACTCTTACAATTGTTCTGTCCCCTCCATGAGTTTTTCTGAGTCTTAAGTTTCGGGGTTGTGCACTAGGTGTATTAATAGGGACTGTACACACTTATTCTCTGCATTTTTTGTACAGTTGTGGCATTTTTAACAGTCTCCATCTGTTGCAAAAAGAATTTTCTTCAATGAATGGTGAGACTATACTTTTCCGTGGACATAAGGATAAGTATTTAGAATATGTAAGAAATTACATTGGTTTAGGGAAGTAGAAGCAGTAGGCTCTCCTCTAGGATCTATAACCTCTCCAATCACAAGTATTTGGCTAATGACCTGAGTTCCCTCCTATTGAGCGAACTCCAATTAGACAGCTGTTGATTACCCCCAAGACAATAGTGCCACTATTGTACCAATGGGAAGACTTTGCTGTGCTCGTCATTGTTGTGGTTCATAGACTTTGCAGCTGAGTAGGACTGTTGGTTGCTTTTTTCCATTGGCAGCTTCCATAGCACCTTCTGATACTATGAGAGCTAATCTTCAGGGAGAAGGTTTCCAGATCAGTTCCAGGTGTCTTCATCAACAGCGTCATATTTTCAAGTTCTGGGAGGTCACCAAGGGCTATGGCAATAGCCTACATTATTTTGGGAGTCTCTTGGACTATCTTGACTGAAATAGTGCAAAAGCCATCATAAAACCTCAACAACTGAGAGTACTAGCAAAGAAATAATTAGAATACAAGTATATAAGAACTAGATTTTTCTGTCTCCATCATTTTCTAACATTTCTCTTGCTAGACACATGCCAGGCCTATCAGACATTGGCCATAGACTCCAAGCTCAGGAAACAATTTAAGCATCATAGTTCAGGTGAGCACAGAAAACAGCTGAAGCGGTGTGCAAAGCTACCACAGAATTAGCCCAAAATTCAGGTGGGGAATGGAGACATGAAATTACCATACATTAATGTGAAATTTGTGTTATTCAACTGCATTTCTAATCATACATGTAGAAAACAAAAAACATTGAATATAACTCAAATTTTTAGTGTAAGAAACTATGCATCAGAAAAGGCAAATCTTTAGCCAGGGGGAGTAGATGAATGGCTAATCGGAGCAGGGACTGGGAAGGGTGGGTTTGAAGATGGGCACAGGGGTGTTTCTGAAGTAATAGAAATGTTCTCTGTGCTGTACATGCACAATCAGAAATGCTATGGAATGCAATCTGAACCTCAGTAAAGCGGCTTAAGAATTTTAAAGGTGAAACGTCAGAAAATGTGCATATCTTTAATTTCTAATTTCCTTATTATGGTATAACTACATTTAGCTTGCATTTTAGAGAATTAAATGTCAGAAATGCATTCCCCTCTATGCTTGCCTTTTTATCATATATATATGTGTATATATATTACACCAATTAGCTGAAAAGTATATTTCTTTTAACTCTAAATTC